TTCGCTATTTCTTAAACAAAAATTTAACTTGTCCATACGATTGCTAAAATCATGAGTTTGGTCAGGTGCCTGTATTATGAGACCCCCCACTTTACCACCTTCTAGAAATGAAACTTTATGACTATTTTTAATTTATATCGTTTCTAATATTCTCAAAATACTAATATTGTTTTTACAGTGTTTCAGAAATCGCATAAAATTTATGCCTCTAGACCAGAATGCCCCCCGAATGTAAATTTTGGAGTTCCGTCAGAGACTTTAACTATGTTAACAATCGGGAAGGCACCGAACTTCTAAATCGGCGATTGTGGGTTTGAGTATAGCCCCAGAGGTACAATTTTGGACCTTATTACAACTAACATAATGTTCAATTCATATTAAAACTTGAGGGCTTGCAAATACTTAAAATATACGAATCAATAGTTGAAGAAATATTCCGAAGCTATTCAATTAAAATACCATTGTGTCGTCACAGTCAGGAGAACACTTCAGCTTAGCTGATGACAAAATATTACAAGAACTAGTTAATTGTAAAAGAAATATCTGTTTCCATAGGCAATATGCTGATTACTTCGAAAAACTGCAAATCTAGTGATCAAAACCAACATCAAATTAATATCCGTACACCGCCTAAAATCATTACATCAGAGGCTAAATTTAGGTAAAAATATTTTAATCAAAAATTTACTCGCAAAACACTAAAACATTCATCTAAGTCGCTCACTTTAAGTCTCTTAAATGTGCCCAAATAAAATTAAAATCCAAATGTTTTATTTCATCACACTGTATTGAGCACTTTATTAAAATAGCGAATGAAATACAAATTTTGTACTTACTATTTCGTAACCAATCATATTTTAAGATGCGGAGCACAACCTTTATGGAATAAGCTATTAACTCTGTTCACAAGGCAAAAATATTTAGAAAACAAGTAACTTAAGAACATCATTTTTATGTAATGGAATAATATATTTTGTGATTATACAAAAATTATTTTATTATTTATTTTAATATTTCAAAATGAATAGAAATTGCAATTTTTGAAAAATATAAAGTGTAGAAATGGTTTTAATACAAATAAAATTGCTTTTATCAGTATTTTATGAACTTTTAACTAACTTTATCAAATTCAAAACAACATTTAAAGAAAATACTATTTAAAATTGTTCTAATTTCAATCTCACTGCAACACCAAACAAACTGATTTAACTTTTTATGATATAATATTTATAAACTTTAAAGATTTCAATAGTGTATTATTTTAGTTTATTAACTTCCCGTAGGGTAGTTATATAGTAAGAAGCCAAAATCGAAAATGAAAACTTTTGCATATTTTCACGTTTTGAAGGTTTCTTAACATTTTGGCATACCTCAGAAAAAATGAATGCGTGTGTGTGTGTTTTGTATGTCCTCATTTTTTCGTCTACGTTTTCGGGCGCACGTATCAACCGATTTGAATGGTTCAAAAAGCAATCGATTCCTATTGATAAAGGCAGGTCCAGCCGTTTACGGAGATCCGGAGCAAAGAGTGCAGAAAATACAAATCGAGTTTTTGAGAGAACGGAGTAACCGATTTGAATGATCCAAAAAACATTTGATTTGTAATGATTGTGTTCAGTTTTTAGCAAAGGCAGGTCCAGCCGTTTTGGAGATATCGAGCTAATTGTGCATAGCTATATTCTTATGTGAAAATTGATGCTACTATGCTTGATATCAGATTGTCCATTTTCAAATTCAGAATTTTTACATGAAATGTGCTGCTCGATTCATTTATAATCGGTTCCAGCAATTTGACCCATAGTTTTAACTAAATTACATACCACAGCAAAAAATGATTATGTATGATTTATTTAATACTTGAGCACTTAAAACTTCCTTCATTTCGAACTGTTGAACGCCACTGATGCGCTGGTGGTAAAAACAACAATAAAATTGGTATTGTGAAGCGCCAATTTCAATAGCAAAGTTGTAAATCTGTAACGATGACAAATGAAAGATCAGTCGATTTTTGTGATTTTACAACCTTACATCTTTTTCAGTCATTTAAATATCGTGATGCCTGCAAAAATGCTACAAAATGCTGAGTATTATACTAATTCATTCTATTATCTATTCATTTTATTATAAATGTGCGTTTATATTTGATACCGACATGAAATCGATTTGGATTAGGGCGATTACATTCTTGTTTGGTCAGGATTTGTTGTGGCAAATAGTGATAGTTTTGAAAGTCTGTACAAATTCAAAATTACTTATACTATAAATTAAGTTATGCGTCCAGATATTTTTGGTATGGTCTTCTACTAGTCTTTGTAAAATGAGTCCTAAAATCTTGAGAAAGGTGAAAGACGCCTATAGGTCGATAAAAGCTTAAGTCGAACATTCCTTCCTAGAAATACATTATATATTATATTTATACATTCATAAATCAATTTGCGTTTATACTGCCATACTTTGTTTATATAATTTCGTGATCAATATGCATTTATCATCTGATTTAATAATTCTATAACTTACATAAATTTTCAATTAGTTTTATATATAAAGTTACTCCCATTTAATGAATTCTGAATGAATGAATGAAGTCTGAATATCTTTATTAAAGCTTTTTTAAGTATTTAAATTTCGCGCTTGTGTTTTGCTGATTCTTCAACCATTGCGCTTTACATAAAGCTACTGTCTGACAAACATCTGATATTAACGTACTGCTCAATTTATTATTTTATAATTCTATATTAAACCGCAATTGAACACACTAATTAAACCAATAGATAAAAATTGCCTTACAAATTAGCAAATAGTAATTAAGTATACACATATTAAAATGAGATCCTTGAAGGTAGTAGACAAATGTTAGATCATTATTATTTATATCTGAAACAAGCATAGATTTTTATATATCTTAAAAATTTGACAATTTTTGCTATGTTTGTCATTATAATGATCAACATTGATATTATTTGCTTATTTTTTATAAACTTATTACTTAAGTTATAATAAAAACAAAGCAGATACAATTTTGTTTTAATTTTACATCAACACTTTTGACGAGTCTAATTTACATTAAAATTGCTGAAAATATACTTAACTATAAGATCCATTCAAACTGAGAGTACTGCAAGAGATAATTATCAAATTATAATAATCAAACTCTTCCATTATTTTCATGAATAATACTCATGCTTTTAAAGAGAATATCACAAACTAAAATTGAAAAACTAAGAATAAATAAATCAATTCTTCATAAATTAAACAATATTTTATATTTTATTTTATATGAACAACAAAATGTAACAGATCTGATAAAAATACATAGCATAAAAAAAATCTTCAAAAAGATGCTTATAAATGGTATGTACAGTAGTAACGCAGCATTATTGATGACACGAAAATATATATGCAGGTTATTGCTGCACATTTCTGTACTACAATCTACAATTGTGCAAATGCAGTAATTTCATTGTCATGCACATATTTTATTGCATTGCTTCTTATATGCAATTATATTCAGCCATGTATTGGTATTTCCACTAACTGATAATGAACTTGTGAATGAAAAATGATCATAATAAATCGAATATTTGATCTTTATTCACTCATTTCTCTTTACACTGTGAAAAAAATTGATTCTAAGGCAAACTTAATTTTAAAATGATTTTCCAAAAGCAGTTTGAAAATTTTATAAAAGTTAGCAGCAAAGGATAATTGAGGTTGATCATATTCATAACAATTCATAACATTTCAGTGAACCCCAACATATTCTTAAAATAGTATACAAAATGCTAATATTTAGAAACAAAGTATCACATTTGAATTAAAAGAAGTATTTGATAGCATATCCAAAAGTGAGCTAAACTTATAACATATGATGCAACAGAAATCAAAAAAATAATTTTAAGCAATCATTTTTATGATTAAAGCTTATATTTTATTAATTGAGAAATCCATAATATTCCGCAAAATTGATTATGCAACATATAAAAATAAAAAATTGTGTATAATAGAAAAAAACAGATGAACAATTTATAGAATTATGCAACAAACCATATAAAAGAATGATATTTATTATTCAAGTAGTGTTAAAAGACCTTTACTTATCATCCATATATTAATACTTCCACATTATTTAAGATCTAGCACAAAATTCTGACTCTGTCAGAGTAATATAAAAAAAAGTTCAATGTTGCAAAAATTATGCTTAAACTTATCACTATGTATACAAAACATCTACATAAATTCATTAAAGTAAGTGACAAACTTTCACTTTTGTGCTAAACTCAACACTATATCAAAATGTAGTTCATTTTATGAAAATACACTATGTGAATGCAATTTGTAGTCCTTATTAAATTATATTCATCAAAGACTGTTATATTATTTTAACTATATGGTTAAAATGTCAAGCATTTTCTTTTAGTCTTTCGATCATTATTGAACACATACTGTATTTTTAGTACGGAATTTGCAAATAGCAAAGGTTATTAATAAATGTGCATCAATAATATAAATAGATTACATATGAGAACTTTGTTCATGAATTTTCATTTGGATTGGTTTGAAAACTTATTAACAATTTGCATTATGTGAAATACAGAATTATAAATTTATATGCACACACACCATCGACCAACCACAAATCAATAGCATAAGCAAAGTTCTTAAAGATATAATCCAGGCAGATATTTTTCAATAATGCCTAACATGTACTTATTGCTAACTGCAAAATATGAATATATATATTTTAAATTTAATAAACAAGATTGTAAAGACAGAATATAAATATGTGATATTATGGAAGTTATACAGCTCATTGTTCAACAATTCAACTGGATCCAAAATAAGTGAATAGGATCAAAGTGTGATAAGTTTGTTGCAGAAACATTTCATTAAATATTATAAAAATGTCATGTTCCAATAAATTATTATTGGTATTTTTAACAAATGTAATACTATTAATTTTGTAAGTAACTATGAAAAATTATATACTATAATTTTTTAAAAAGATATTAACACTCATTGAGTAAATAATTAATTAATTCATATCATTCAGATTTTTAAAAAATAACAAGAAAATCACCTCCACAGCATAAATTCATTTTAGCAAGTGGCTGTATCTGGTATAAATCGTTTTGTTATGTTCTCAGTCTTTACAAGCAGTGTCCATTGGAGTTACAGAGCCAGGCATATTTAGACTGCTATTATTGCTTACGCTGTTAATACTCAAGTTGCTACACATATTAGCACTTGTATTACTAACTGAAAGGCCTATTGTTGGTATGGCTGGTTTAATGAACCTCTCACTTGTCCTTCGAGCCTGAAATTATGCACACTTTATTGAATTTGAGTTATAATACTTTTTAACTGAATAACTAAAAATTTACATTATTCCACAATGCATTAAATTATCGATGAATGCAGTAGCATATTTGTAAATGGTGGTATAATCTAAACATCATCTTCTAAAATAAAAGTTATTCAACAAATAGTGAAGGTCAACTTAGTTTTGATGATTAGTATTCAAATAAAATATGGTATGTCATACTATAATTTTACTTTTTCAAAAATGCCCACTTCAACAAATCTCCAATTTTATATTTCTCCAATATCTTTATATGTATGCTATATATAGTATACTTAGTTATAAGATATATATATATATATATATATATATATATATATATATATATATATATATATATATATACAATACAATTATAATTATATATTAGCTCTTAATATTGTCTTTTAGATAGTGCGCAATTCAATAAATGTTTTGTATGGAAATAGCATGGAGAAATTTTCAAAAATTTTAAAAATGTTTATTTAGATATAATTTAGCGAACAAATGAATGAGTTTTATTCAAAATTCAATGCTCTACAAAACAAATTATAAAAAAACGGTTTTGCAGAGCGTCGAATTTTCAATAAAAAATTACACAAATTTACACAATTTTTTTTTTATTTTCAAATTTTTTTCTATGCTATTTCCATAAGAAGTTAAATTGAATTGCGCACTATCTAAAAGTTAATAATAAGAGCTAAAATTTTAAGAGAATTGAATCAATTTGGAACCATTTGAGCCCTTGTGAGCAAAAATATTCAAAAACGTCCATACTAAGGACCACCTCAATATATATATATATATATATATATATATATATATATATACCCTTTGAACTCCGCGCGGTCGACGCATGTGACGCCCCAGCAACTCCCTGAGTATATTAGCGGAATATCTGTCATGTTTGTTATATAATGAAAAAAAAGGAACAAAAAAGAATTAAAGTATTTATTTTTTAACAGTATTATTTCAATGTGTTTTAATGTTAATTTCAAACATCAACAATTAGTGATTCGTTTTTAACTTTATTCGTTATTATATTTGTTAACGTTATGATGTGATCAGAGCGTGTCGGACTGGGTCCGACAACGGAGTTGCGGAACACATTTTGTATGTCGAACTGGAGTCGACAACGGAGCGTAAAGGGATAATATATATATACTACATAAATACAAAAACAAACTTACAGAGAGAACAGGTGCAGGTGGGCTAGATGACACTATAGGGTGAAATGTACTTCCTAAATTTGGACAGCAAGGTGGTACCTAAAAAGTAAATATCTTTTAATATGTGTCCGTGTATGATTTATATCTATATATATATATATATATATATATATATATATATATATATATATATACACAGAAGAACCTCGATTAACCGGACTAATTGTTGTCTATAGGCATTCGGATTGTTGTCAATAGGCATTCAGAAAATCAAAAATCCGGATAATCGAATGTATGAAGAATAATGTTGTGTATTTATTAAAAATAACAAATACATACATAGATATCAGAAAAATAATGTTTATCAAGAAATTAAAACTATCTTATGTATGTACATATATATTTTCTTATTTACATTACATACATATACTAAACTGCTGCATTAATCATGCAAAAATTCGAATTGTAGGTATGGTAAATAAGTATAAATTAATCGTGATTGGTAGTCGTGATAATTGCAAATCTTTACAACTGAGGTCCGGAAAAACGAGGTTCTACTGTATATATATAACAAAATGACAAATTCAATGCAAACACATAACAACTTCAAATTCTGATACTGTTTTGTATGCTGTCCAATTAGCATGACCTACAGTTCTACTTTGTATTTAAATTTAGAATGACATATAACTCACTTGTGCTTGTCCACAGGCATAACACCTTATACCCGGTCCAGGACTTAAGGGACGGCTGGCTGAAGGGCTTGGGTTAGTTTGAGCGTAACTTCCTACAATACCTGCTTGAGGAATTGGTGAACTAATTGTTCTTTGTCTAGCTGCACCACCTTTGTGTCGAATAAAAAAAACAAAAACAAATAGCTTAGTAGAAGAATATTACAAAAAAAAAACTATATTTTACATTTGGACAACAATTTTTTATGATTGTACATATGTTGTTTCAAAATTTGAGCTAATAAGGATAAAGCTTAAATCAAACCAACTTGCTGAAGTTGTTTCACAAACACAATTTACCGATATACTGTCAATAAAAAAAAAAGCAAGTCTGCTATACTTAAAGAAAATATTCTTATCTTCAATTTAACAACACTGTATTACCAGCTATAAAATTTCCTATCCCAAATGGTATAAAAATGTTAAAGAAACATTGGATTAAGTAAAGCATAAGATAATGTACCTATAACACTTTCATTATAATGTCGCTCTTCTTCCATTTCTAGAGACGATTCACTTTCAGACAAATGCCGACAAAGAGCCTCTCTGCGTTCCACTTCTAATTGCAGTTTTCTTTGTAGTCTAAGGTTCTCTTCACGAATACAGCGCTCTTCCTGTACATATCTCTTCATTTTTTCTGTATTCTCTTGCTGCGATTGAGCCAAATTTCGCCGTAATTTGTTAACTTCTGACCGCAAAATCTGAATATGAGCACTAAGATTCGCTGCAGTATCTCCTCCATTATTCATATCCCTGCAATTAGTAAATTATGGTAAAATCCCTGAATAGCAATTGTAATTCTTTTGATAGCACTTCGGTATAATTGTTTAAAAAGTCTAACAGTCATCAAAGAATGGTTAGGCAGACAAATTTTAAGTCATGCAGTGTCCTGGACAACTTCTAGACCTTAATTTAATAGATAGTTTTAGATTTTACTTTGAAAGATCTCTTTTAAACAATTTTCATTTACTCCCATCATCACCCAAAGTTCTATGCAAATTTTTTGAAGCAGACAAAAGCAATTGCAAGCAGTTGAAAACTCAAATTGAATAGTACTAAATATTAAAGCATGTGAAAGTTTTTCTCAAACATAAAATTGCTATTCTACTATTGCTTCTTCAACAAGAAGTAAAAATTGTTTATGCGACTGAGACAGTCTAGCACCCAACTGTATCTATTTGCAAATTATATAATTTTCGCATAAACCAAATTTTTGTACCCCTGAAAAGTATCCATGGTAAACTCAAATTCAAAAACTTAATGTAATATAAAACATGAATATGGTAATTGCTTAAATATAACTTACCTAGGACTAGCAGGATCTGATATTGGTTGATCCAATTTAATTTGAAGTGATCTTTTTTCAGCTTCTAGTTTATCCATTCGCTTCCACAATTTGTTAACCAAAGCTTCTTGCTCTTGCTCCAGAGTATTTTCGAGTTCAACCTGAAAATAAAGGACTTGAATCATATAAATGTATATTAAAACATTTATAATTGATTTCAAAACTTAAAAATCTCATCACAAAAAGTTAAATGCTACTAAATATTATAAATTACTTGCCTTTTCTCTTCTAAGTTGTTCAAGATTTGTTTGTTTGGCTAGAGTTTCGGCTTCTAACTTTTCTATTTTTCTCATTAATTTATTCACAAGACACTCTTGTTCTTGCTCTAGCGTTTGCTCCAACCTACATTTTTCTTGGCGCAACTGAAAACAAAATAATTACAGATGAAGAACAAAATGTCATATTTTATTTATGTATAAAGGGATATCTTGATTGAAAAATAATTTATATTTTACAAAAGCCTTATCAAAAGTATTTTCAAAGTATTAAAAGCACCAGAAAATAAAAGATTCAATGCATATGCCTTTTTTGCTAATTTGGGTATATATATTTTGGAAATATATATATATATATATATATATATATATATCTATATATATTTTGAAAATATATATAGAACAGAAAATAATATACAATAATTAAATTTAAATCATTAATAAACTTAATCCTTTGTGCATATGAGAGTAAATTTAATAACTTTTTATCACCTGATTCAATTTCCTTGACAAATCATTAGTCAGACACTCTTCCTCTCGTTCATAATGATGGGCTAGAGATTCTTTCTCTTTTTTTAGCGCTTGAATTTTCTTCAATAACGTGTTGGATATATATTCTTCCTCTTGCTCCGCTTTAGCTTGCTGAAACAATTAAAGCACTTTCCATATAATAATTGTGTTACTAACAAAACTGAATTAATAAAGTTTGATCTGAAATATTTGCTGATATAAACATAACATAAACTTACAATAATTACAGATGCTTGTCGTAAACCACGATTTTCTTCCTGAAGAGCTTTCACACGTAATTTATATGTTTCTAATTCAACCTAATAAGTAACATTTAAATTAATTATTAATGCCGCTATTTATGTCATTGCAAAGAATATTTGATACTAACTTTCAAGACTTTGTTTTGTTGCTGCAAGCTTTCAATCCGCTTCTGCATGTGCTCTCTTGACACAGGACTAGGAGGTAGCATTGCTCCCCCGTCTAGGGAGCTCGAATCAGATTCTGATGGTGAATCTGCCATCACTATATCAATCACAGATCTATATATCGCACGCAGCGATTGACACTTCAAACAAATTTAATATAACCTTAAGTACATTTGAAAACGCATTTGCATTCAAAACAATTTTATATGAAAGCGAATTGAGAAAACAAACTTAATTTTTTTTTTTTTTTTTGTACAAACTATTGTTTAAAATGGAAAACAAAATCAAGCAGTCAATTGTTCACTACTTGACAGCAAAGAAAAACCTACAGAGACAATACAAGAAAAATTTCATGGCAGACGTGACAAACAGTAATGCATGTAGAGGTGTTCAATAACAGACTTTTTTTTACCTTTAGTATAATTATCACAGACTTATATTAACATCAACTAGTTAGATTTACTATAGAGTAATATTAATCTCGCTTAAATAAGCATAAAATTTCTCCATTAATCTTGTGTAGAATAAGCCTTTGAGCCAACATGGAGATGGAGCCGTATACAAATATTATCTATGATTCTCAATCCATAGTCGCACAAAACACAACATAAAGATATTCGTTGTAATCAAAGCATATATTAGGAGATTGAGGAGTATTTCAAACGGAATTTTTGTTTAAAATTCAAAATCTAGTCTAGGGCCGTCGACTCTGGTTTGCTTGCGCTTTACATTGTGCAAATTCGTGATGTCTAATAAATTACGAACTGATACAATTAATCAATTAATGGTTCATAATAATAAAAACAGGTGGTGTATGGCATCGTGCCTTAAGGCAAATTGCTGGAACTTCCCGTACCGTAACGAAATGTTCGAGGAATATTAAATGTTTTCAAATAGATTATAAATATTGTAACGTTGTCTAATTTTTATAAGAATTATACAAACTGAATTGCAAAGTTGAAATTATTTGTTTAAAGTATATTAGAACTTTAGTCAGAATTAAAATTAAAATCTGAATTATTTACAAAAAAAAAAATAGAAATACAAAAAAAAAAATTAAAAAAAAATTTAAACATTTTTCTACCCAAAAGTAATTATTTTGTACAAGCAGAAAGTTCTTTGCATCATTCAATCGACGCTTAGTTCTCTCAAAAACTGCTATTGTTTGCACATTTAGCTCTGTATCTTCGAAATGGCTAAACCTGCCTTTGCCAAAAACTAATCACCTCTTCTCCCAATCATTACAAATTGAATGTTTTTTAGATCATTCAAACCTGATACATAGTTCTCTCAAAAACTCGATTTGTATTTTCTGAACTCTTTACTCCGTATCTTCGTAATGGCTGGACCTGCCTTTGCCAAAAACTAATCAGCACCTCTCCCTCTTAATAGGAATCGAATTTTTTTTTTTAACCATTCAAATCCGTTCATCCGTGCGCCGAAAACGTGCACGAAAAAATGCGGACATACAAAACACACACACATATCCATTTTTTCTGAGGTATGACAAAATGTTCAGAAACCTTCAAAACGTGAAGATATGCAAAAATTTTCATTTTCGATTTTCGGCATATTACGTACGGGAAGTTAAAAGTTACGAACTCATACAATAATTATTGGTGCACAATGAAAAAAAAGAACCTCTCAAATGTACTTTACAAAAGTCAGAATTATTAAGAGTTTTATAAGAACTACTTAATTAATAAAATATCAAGAATTATTTATTAAAAATTAATAACTTTTCAATATTATCATGGAATTTAAAACTTGTTTTGAACAATAAGAATTGCTCAAAATGAGATAAAATGATAAAATCTAGTATATCAGATAAAGATAAATTCTATGTATTTAGTTTTTCGTGCCAAGGATAATTCAAAATTGAAGTGCCGCAAAGCTCATTGGATAAGATTCGGACAAGTTAAAATAGTATTGAGCTGAAATCTTGAAAATTATAAATTCTTTAAACATGTGCTCATAATTGATAATACTTTATAATTATTAATATAAATATGTACTTTATTGTTTCTATTAAAAATTTATTTTGATTGTTTAGAGTTTTAGAACAATATTGAGATCTTGAAAGCTAAGATCAATTTAGATTAATATTATTTAATATTGTTAAATATTCGTTTTATTTTAATATCGCAAAAAAATTCAACTCAACTTCAATTCAATCAAAGTTGTATAAAATTTCCAAAATTTTGTTGCATGTTTTATTATAGAATACACTAATTTTCCATCACTGTGCCATCAATAATAACCGCTATCGTGCCATCAATAATAATGTTTTTCAAGTTTAATTATTTATGGAATTTAATTCTTGTTATTTATGTTGTTTATATATATATATATATATATATATATATATATATATATCTGAATTTAATGTTGACATATGTATTAACAAAGTCTAATAGGGCATAACATCAATAAAAAAAAACATGAAGTTTTTAAAAAAAAATTATTCTAAAACCCATATGTTTCATCTATAGTTCCCTAGCCTTCATACTGTTGAAACTAAAAATGGAATTTAAAAACTAAAATGTATAACAATTGAAATTTTAAAGTTTAAATATTTATAAAAAGTAAAAAGTACTTACTATTTGCTAATTCTCGCGTTAACATTAGAAAAAATAATGATCTATTGTACAAGTTTATGATAATGCTATAATATAAACATTGAAATTATCGTATTTATAATAATATTTCGCGATCTTGCTAACATAAAAACTATCACAATATAGTAAGTGTGCAATATAAGTGTTATCTGTGGATTTGCTGAAGTAGAGTAGTTAAAACATATGGATTTTAGATTAAATTTTTAAAAGAAATTCATGTTTTTTATTGATGTTATAACCGATTTGTAATATCAAAACCAAAAACAAAATGGAAAGTGAGGGTGATGTGATAATTGAAACTTAGTGGACCTGCTGTATTATTAGGAATTGAAAGATGTGGTTGAATTGAAAAGGTGAGAAACATCAGAAAAGACAATGATTAAAAGAGATCAGAAGCGTGGGAGAATACCATTACCATAGAGATGAGCAAGAATATAAAATAACTGAAAGGACAAACATCAAGAAGAATGTGAACACATAAGGAACAGAAGTAGAGTGCAGAAAATTTAACTTCAAATAGTGAAGGTAAACATTGATGCTCTAATCCCATAAACCAATCTTCCGACAAAGCACCATAATCATGTAAATATATATATATATATATATATATATATATATATATTTATAAATATATACATGCATCAATATATTGATATAATACTATTAAATAATATTAAATATATTATAAATGTGTCTATTAAATTTATAATAGTGATAATTCATATTACTTATACTACAGCAATTAACATTAGTTTAGAATTTGTAAAAGCATAATAATATTTCATGGGCAGCATTCTCCATTCATTTTCAATTGTTTTTCTAATGCTTCTGGTATGTTTTCTTTAGTTTTCGATTTGCCTCCTCTCCCCAATAGTTCTGGACAAGGTTCATTTCCATTTTGAATTTCATAAGCACGTTTAAGCAAATCATAATTGATCCTTTCAGAGACAACAGAATCTTTTCTATAAAAATTAAAATATTATATATATATATATATATATATATATATATATATATAATATATATAGTGAACATCATGATTACTTGTATTCAGGATGGTTAAGAACTTGTTGTCGAATCCATGATGCAGTTGTAAGTAATTCTCCAGATGCTCTTTGTTGAATTAGTTTCAGATATTGTTGTATAGAACAGTGTGTATCAGCATCTACATCCATGCTGCTCAAGTAACTATTAATTAATGGAACAAGACCAGGAAATGAACCCTGCATATTAGCAAAATATTAGTTTCAACTCAAATATTCTACTGAAAGTGACTGATGTTACACACACACACACACACACATATATATGTATATATATATATATATATATATATATATATATATTTGTAATATTTTTGCAGCCCAACCGTCGAATTAAAAAAGGTTAAATAACAAAATTATTTATTCCATTAAACGTTTCGACACTTGATGTGTGTCATTATTCAGTAATCTAACATATATATATATATATATATATATATATATATATATATATTAGGGTGGTCCTTAAAATGGTCATTTTCGAATTTTCTTGCTCCCAGGGGCTCAAATGGTTCCAAATTGATAAAAAACAATTCTCTGAAAGTTTTAGCTCTTAATATTAACGTTTAGATAGAGCGCAATTCAATCAAAGTTTGTATGGAAAGAGCATGAAAAAATTTTTGAAAATTTAAAAAAAATGTGTTAGGTATAACTTAGCGACAAATGAATGAGTTTTATTCATTCATTTGTTCGCTAAATTACATCTAAAAAACATTTTTAAAATTTTTGAAAATTTTTCTATGCTATTTCCATACAAAACTTTGATTGAATTGCGCTCTATCTAAACGTTAACATTAAGAGCTAAAACTTTCAGAGAATTGTTTTTTATCTATTTGGAACCATTTGAGCCCCTGGGAGCAAGGAAATTCGAAAATGACCATTTTAAGGACCACCCTAATATATATATATATATATATATATATATATATATATATATATATATATATATATATATATATACAATGTGTGATCAATATTATGCAGTTTCTATACAATACTAATATTGATGCAGGACTCACTTTTCCATTTATAATTTGATCTATTGACATTAGTTCATATTCTCGATCAACAGAATCACAAGCCTCAACCTTTTGTGCAGACTCTGATAATAAGGCACATGTTTGTCTTGATTCTGAATTCTTAGCAGTTATGTCACGTCTAAACCAAAATGTTTGCTCTCGACAAGCATTCCGCCTTTGAGCTTTTTGCATGTTTTCATCAACCTATATTATACCAAACACGAAACAAAAAAGTAATATCTAAAATTATATGTAATTGAATCATATTCAAATATAACTGCTTGATATGTATAGAGAAAAACATATGATTGTTTTCAATAATATGAATAAAAAATATGGATAGAAAATCTATGTGTAAAAATAAAATAAAAATCAATAGGAACAGAACAAATTGTAAACAAACATCTATAAGTATTATATTTTAGAATAAGACAGCTAACGGCCTCAGTTAAAATATATATAAATACATTATAACATCATTATAAAGTATTCAAAAATGAGATAATATTTCTGTAATAGCGAAAGTGATATGGTTTGGATATATTTTGATATTACCTTACTTATAGGGATTATAAAATTTAATTGATAACTCAGGATGACTCTGGTCAAGAGAACAACAAAGCAAACGAGAGCTGCATTTTCGAAGTCAGTAAGCTGAATTTCGCAAGGACGAAACTCAACACGCCATCCGATGGAAGAATTGGGTGGAGGTGGTTTAAACCTCATGGTTTGCCAATTTGTGGATTGAATGTTCTGGAATAAAACAAACATATTCAGTTATTGTCTTGTTGCATATCTACTAATATTGAATTTGAAAGACACATACATATAAAAAAACAAGATGCGTAAGAGCATTTCCACAAGCATATATATATATATATATATATATATATATATATATATATATATATTTCAAATGTTGAATATGGACAACACAACACTCAGATTTTTACATACACTTTAATAATTACTGATGTTTCAAGACCATTGTATGCCTCATCTTCAGTGTAATTTCAAAACAGTAAAAATGATTTTAGTTTATATTATTATTAGCAGATTAAAATAGTTAAAACAAGGTACTATATGTCAAGTCAGTTTTTAGATACAAGAGTTTTTTGTTTAAATAATTCTATAGATTTAAATTCAACTGTCTTTTTCAAATCGTCTCCCAATATATCTCTCAGCAAAAAAAAAAAATAAATAAATAATATTAACAAGCCAACAGAAGAATTGCCACAGCAGGTTTTAATGGGTTCGGTAATAACCATTAAGTTTTTTTTTCCAATAGCAATGCAGATAGTGGTGAGCACTCATTATTTATGCACACAAAGGCGTATCATATATAGATGTACTGGAAAGTCATAAGTAGTTTTTTAAAACGATGTCTTTAGGCTGAAGTATGCAATACTATGATTTAAATTTAACACATATGCATTTCATTCTACTGACATCAAGCTTCAAAGCAATAAATACATTTTGCTAAAGTAACACAGTTATAGATTTTAAAAATATCAAGTTTGGCTCATGAAAACTTGCATTTGTGACGCGCACTACTTTTCTCATTTAACCAAAAGAAAAAAGCTACTGAAAGTCATTGTTCGCGATGCGTAGTAAAAAGTGGGCTGATTTACTTTGAAAAGCCTAAGCTCAAGAATCATGACTATCACCAGGCGAAGCCGGCCAATCGACTAAGGCTAAATCGTTTCGGTCGCAAGAAATGTTATGTTTTCCGTCATTCAGTTAAATCAAATAGTTAATAGTGATTTGCAACGAGAACATATGATAAATTTGAACCAAGAATTCATAAAAAAAACGTTCAGAATGTGCAATAACAAAATAAAGCAAAACCGGTCAAGGGGCGTTGATAACATAAATTATCACACCCGTAGTACTCTAGACCTTGTTGCAGAGCAGCACTTCGCTAATTTGGAACATGTTGGCTGGATGAATGGTTTTGTTCAAAAGACGTTTTTTGGGATGGCATCCAACAACTTCTGAGCAAAACAAAACACCAAAAATAAAGCTCTAACAAATATAAACATATAGTTGAAGCTTCTTTTTAATTAACATGTTTAAATCTTAAATAATGTACCTCAAAATGGTCTGTATCTTCCTCATCATTTTGATGAATTTTTTCATAAAACAAAGAAACTGAATCTCGTATAAACAAATGGGCAATATGCTGAGCGAGCAAATGATCAATTCCAGCTGCTTTTAATCGATCATAAATTACTGTATCATACACAAGTTCAACATCATTATATCTGAAAAAAGGAATGGAACAATATATAAATAGAGTACCAAAATCAGATAAGATACAATTTTACTAACTCACACTCAAAATGATAAAAATATATTTGAAATAAGAAGTGAATAAAAAATTAAACTCTATGTCCAAATTCAAGCATAACAGCAAGAGTAAAAAACATTATTCACGGCATGAGTTTTTCTAACATATTTCTAATTTAGTTTTTCTTGGACTACCAACTAATATTTGTGTATATTTAAATTAACATACCTTTCGCCCTGAGAAGATAGATATGAATCTATTGAGTCATATCTAGACTTATTAATGCGAAATTGATTCTCATTTAAAGGCTTTTCTCCTCGCTCTTCTGGTGTTCTACAATCAACACTAGCTGATATAACGTTCCATCTGCAATCAACATCTGTCACATATCCTCGGTACAAAGGTGAAGCAGCAGTCAAAGCCAACTGTTTAAAAAAAAAGATTTATGAAAGTGGTTAAAACAAATTTCAATTAATTTCTAATAATATCTTTCAAGAGTAAATTTGGCAAAAAAAAGTGCCTTGACATAAAAAATATATAAATATATACCAAAAATTAAGTTTTAATTACTTGATATTACTAAATAATTAAAATATAAAAAAATAGGCGAAAATCAGAATATTATAAATAAGAATATAATTTGTCTTTGATGGATATAATTTTTGGTAATTATCTGTTATCAATTCATGATTTAATATGCAATCAAATCTGTAGATAGCAATTCTTTCCTGTTGATAAAAAATTGTCATTATTTTTGTTTAAAATTAAATAACATTCAAATCAATAATTTTAACCCTGTAGTTGACATCTAGTGTTACAAATTTTTCTTTATTATTTATTACTCTGACAATGTGTTAATTTAATAAAAATTTTAATTTATTATTAAGATTTTTAGTTATTTAAGTGCAATTCTTAATTTCTAAAACATTTTAATCGTTACTAAAAAAAATAGTAAAAAAAATATTTTGCGTAGGTTGTTTACTGGCTTGTACAGCAGCGTCAATTCTGCGGAAAATAGAGAAAGGAAATAGATAGTAGAGAAAGGGTTAAATAAGCAATTTTTAGAAAACATTAATATAACTTAACCCCTTAAGGCATATTTTTTAAAACAATTTAGACACAAAAAAAAACGTTATTATTTACACTTATTTTAACTCATTTGTCCATTTTTTATTTACTTATTTTACTTGTGTAATTTCTAGACAAAGTAATTTTAAGATACGTAGTTCCATGTCACAAAAATGATAGTAAACAATAGCAATAATCTACCAGTGACAGATGCGGATGTAAAATAGTTTATAAAAATTATATTTATTACCTGTGACCAAGCTGTAATATTTTGAGACACATAAAATTACATCAATCGTGACATTCACAAAACTGCACAATTCTGCCAGTAAACATTGTCCGTATATATCACGGAGGTACGTATTAAGCGATTTTCGAAAATCATCAATTTTAATAATAAAGTTTTCACACTAGAATCCATTAGATATGCATTTTTTGATTTTCGATCAGATATAAATAAGTCAAAACAATAAATATAACTTACTATCTAATAAAGTAACTATTTGGTAAAATGTAATAGTATAGATTAACATTGATACCAAGTAATAACAAAACAAATATGAAAACAAAATTAGTGATTTCACTTTTAGTCAAAAACATTAACTTTCTCAGACTATATATATACATCACATATATATTATTTATATCACCCATCACCTATACATTTAAGTCTTCATAATAAGAGTTTTGAAAAATCTTGAAAAAGAAATGTGTGAAATATCTTATCTCAAATATTATAGAATATAAGATATAGAAGGTATTCAAATTTCAAATATAATAGTTACTGGAATGTATTTGTAATGCCGAATATATAATATGTAAGAATAAATGAAAAAATAATGATTCCACTTAAAAAACACCAAGTGATTCTTAAATTGTTATTCAACTTGTCTTAAATATTTTGCAAATAGACGTCACTGAAAGCCAAATTTCAAACAAAAACATTTGTTAACTAGCGTAGTTCATCCCAGATATATAGTGTATACCTTTATGTAAACAACAATAATAGAAATTACCATAATTGGACACAAGGGTGTTAGCTGATCATACAATGTTCGTGCTTCATTGATATTACATGCTTGAAAAGTTAACTGTAAGCAACAACATCCCATACCAAATCCCATTGCATCCATATAAACACAGTCCTTAATGGCACGTGTGGTTTTGTAATCACATCCACTCAAAGGATCTTTAGTATTTGTGTCCTTGAACACTGGAATTAAAATATTATGATATTACAAATCAGCTATAAGAAATGTCAACTGTAACTGAAATTAAATTCTACTACAAAACTATTAACTTGCAAAATATTGTATAAATATAATAATTAAAAATAATTCAGTAAATTATACAAAGTATAATAGACTCTGAGTTCTAGAAAAATTCTCACAAGCAATAATCATTAGGTGAACAAATATATTATTCCAAACTAATGCTTGGATTACATCTGTTTTTTTTATTATGAAAGCAGTAAATATAGAAAAACAGGTATCTAATTAATAACTAAAATCGCTAATAGTTAATAGAATGTAATTATAATTGGCAGACCTGGCAAGTTTATGGCTACTTTTTCTCCTCTTCGCTGCCTTATGTTTTTTGTTAATGTTTTAAATCTTGGATGTCCTGGAAATATAGCTTCATCTGGGAAAAAATATGATTGTGAAGCACCTTCTTCACTATCAGGTGTGGGATCATACTCAGGAAATGTAAATTTCGGACAGCCGAGCCTATAAATGAATAAAGCATTATTGAAACTAAATATTTTCAAAAGGTGTAATACTTAAATTACACTTCACAGTTTTAAAATCCAGTCACAATTTTTTATGTACAATACTACAGTTATTAAAATCTTTATAACATAATAATATAAGTTTACCTAGGAAACTTGTAAGGGACATGAGGACTTCACCCTTTGGTAACAAACTGGCTGCTTCCTCTCGTCTGTACTTCATATTAGCTTCTACTACATTGAAATGCGCTAATAGACCACCATAAGGCTTTCCTGGTGTTCCTTCAATCATATAAGCTCCATATTCAGGTCTCCACAATGATTTCACTCCTGTTTTAATAAAATAACAAATATAATAATAGAATGCCAAGAGTGATTATTAAATCAGGCAATAAACAGTTTTACTCTTAACATAACAAGTATCATAATTAAATTAATATTTCTCATGCAATGTCTTATAAAGTATGTATTAATATAGTAGATTTCCATCAATATTAAACTGTATTTATTTTAAGAGTAAAACCTATTTTTAAAATTAATTCTCTTACCATCAACATCTATTGCTTCTTTCTCATTAAGCTGTGTCAATATTTCTTGCGCACGCAGCGATACTTTTGCTTCCTTTTTCTCATCATCAAATTTAACAAGTACGTATTCCACCTAGAATGAATGATTATTACATAAATTGTTATATAAGTAAAGTTTTCTCTTTACTCTTAATATTTACCTCATCTCCCCATTTCAAAACATCGCCTTGTCTATCACGAAGCCTCTTATACAAATTTATGAATTGTGTAATACCATGCTCACGAACATGGTTAGAATAAGACTTTGTTTCCTCCCATGTCAAAGGTCTTCCTTCAGTTAGCAATCCCATTGTATTATTTACATAAATACTTTCAATATTTTATGAGAGTTCTGTGTGTTGACAGCAATATAACTGTAAGCCCTAAACAAGAATAAAAACAAAAAAAATTAGAGGTGCAGTCAATGATTGAATGATATCATATAGTATATATAATAAAACACTGAATTGTCACAAAAACAATGTTTTATAGATATATTTAAATGATTAAAAAACCGAATTCATACGTAAATAAACTATTAGATTGTTTTCTCAAAGACAATAGCGAACATGTAATATTACTTAATTGATAAACTCCGGTTATGTCATATAAAATTATTACTGTGACAGGCGCTGTCTAATAATTGCAAGTCATTTTCCAAGAAGAGTAGGCACTGTCAGAATATTATAGTATCATTCATTATGTTTTTGTAATCACGCTTTATTTACTAGCGGTGCGCAAAATATGTCATACGAGATTAGACTAAACTGACCAAATATCAATATTCGTTATCGAATTATCGATATCTATAATGATATTTCAAAAGCATTTGTACACAAAATGCGAAGTAAGATATCCGACGCAAAATCATTTACTCAATCCGATAAAAACTATAGAACGAGAGTGCAGTTATCGAATATTTTCTTTTAACGAAATCTTTTTGCTTTATCCATGACTTTCATATTGTCAAATTTCATTTTCACTTTTGAAATAATCTCGAGAATATTAATATAAATATAAGGCTTTATTATAATTGTCAAAATAAAACTATAACAATTAAACATATAATAAATAAAATACTATACTAAAATCGCTTTAACGATGCATTTTTGATATCGTTATTTATGAAAATGTAGGAAAAAGTTGTAAAAGCCTGAACTCATAGATAAATAAGTATATGCCTGAAACTTTGTATTTTATATGCCTGAACGTATGTACCAACGTTTAGTATTGTTCAACTTGAACTGAAGCAGTGTTTGTCAACATTTTATACGATGAGAAACACTGATCAAACTTTTTAATCCGTAGGAATATGTCACTATTTGATATGATACAACACCACTCACCTGATTTTGTCGAATTATGTCATATACTTATTTCTACGCAGCCTTGGAAGATTGTATTCCTTCAATAATTAATCTTATTTATATGAATTATTATCAAAAACGACTAATCGATTTTTTTGCATTTTTTTTTATCAAAATCGCAAGTCCGAAAAAAATTGACATTCATTTTTATCACAAACAACTTTTGTTTGAATGAATCATCAAATATATAGAGGTCAAACAAACTCTAGTCGATCCTTTTACTAAACAACCGAGTCGATAGCTTTCTAATTATTAAATATTATAATTAAAACTTGTGGAAAATGCTACATAAAAAGATCTGCGAATATCCACAATACTTTTCTTTAATATGTTTTCATTAATACTTTTATTTATTCCTCACATTTTTTCGTTGAGAGAGACTAAATTTGCTTATTCAAGTCATCTAATTTTCGAAATGATATGTTTTTAGAAATTTCTTTCCACATAAAATTGTATTTACCTGGTACAAGTTTCAAATTACCTTTTCTCTACTCAATTTTCGAAATTTAATTTCTTGTTTGCTTTTTTAATGATCAAAAAACAGTGACTAATAATATTATCCAGATAACAAAATAAATGTAATTTGTTGAGTCCCGACAATTCAGTATACATTAACTTTTGAAACCTTTTGAAAACTTACCCTGTTTAAATGATCACGAGCAATTTCTGCATGGAAAATTGCAATTTTCTTATCC